CCAAAGCTCAACAGTGCCTTGAGCACAGGCTGCTCCAGGAGTTCTCCATGTGAGAGGCTTCAGGTAAATCACCTCTGGAGCTACCTGTCTGTCCTCCTTGATCCACAGAGGGCAACTAGGGTCAATTTAGTTCTTCATAGGTAAGAGGGGGATATAAGGTGAGGTGAAACCAAGCAATGGAAGACATCAATCCTAGAAAGTAACATGGTGAAAACCCAGATGGTAGAGTAGAAATGAACTCAATCCCTTAGATAAAACTGTGCAACCATGAAACATTGTTAAGTGCAAATGTCAGGGAGGAAAATACAGGGTATTTACCCAAAGTCCAGGAATTTCCCACAGAGGTGTAGGGGCTGATTGTAGCTTCTGAAGACAGTAAACCCCATATTTCCTCTTAGAATTGGGCACTGGATTTGCTTGGAAGATCCCCTTCCTTCGAGGGACTACAGGCAGCCTTGAGAGCTGCACGGCAAGATGAAGTATAAAGCACAATGCCCCTCTAGGAAAGGATAAGGAATGGCTGAGCTGTTCATACAAACAGTGGAAGAGATTAGAGATGAAAGGAAATATTTAGTCACCTTTTGGGAACAGCTGGTGTGAAAATATTTAACAGGCAGGTTCTTTTATGCACAAGCACAGCATTCTAACTAAGCTTAAATAGGCAGGAGCAATATAATGCAGCTGGCCAGCCTGTGAATACTGTAGTAGGAGAATTAAAAGCTTTCCTTCTCATTTGCTCACGCAGCTCAGATGGGAGCTAATCATGTCCTCTAATTTTAACAACAGAAAGGTGAAATGTACCAAAAAAAATTGCAGCTTGTAATAAGAGAAGAGGTGGCAAATTCTGTCCCTGCGACTGAATGAGGATGGAACGATTCACCTGCCCTTTTCTGTAAATCAGCCTTAAATCATCTTGAGCTGCCCGAAAAGACCTGTATTTAAGTGGAAACTTAATCTGAAATCCATTTTGATCATTTCTTTGAGTGCCAGCAGTAAAGTAAAAGCTACTCTGACTATTTAAACACCCATTAGAAACCTGCGAGCGTTTAAGAGCGCCATGTTATAATGGGCCAGGGCGTGCAGCAGGATGTGTGTTGTAAGGCTATTTAAATTGCATGGTATCCATCTATCTTTAAACTGGCAGCTAAATGGAAGATTTAGATTTGAGAGTTCCTGGCTCCTGGTTCCCTGTCAGAAATAATTAAACTACATTTTAGGGAGACTGTCATAAGTAGTTTGCTTCACAAGTGTTTTTCGCAGCTGAGGGTCTTTATTACAGCTCTTGGGGCCTGGGAATCCAGACCACCTTAATATCCACTATATATGAATTGTACATTCATAACCTGGAGGCTGCACGCTCTTGCATAGCCGGTGGTATGGCTGGGGTCTCAGCTGGGTGGGAGATGAAACCCCAAATGTTCCCAGTGTTCTGGGTTAGCCTAAGCTCTGTTGGGTTTAAATGGTGCAGTCCATGTCCCTGGCCTGTGTGTGCAGAACTGCTCCTTGGCAGCGTGTTGTCTGAGGAATATTGCAGTTGAGATGTAAATGTCCCAGTGGGTTTTCCATCCCTTTTCACAGGAATGACTCCACAGAGATTCTGCCTTTCAGAAAGTGCTTCATTTTTTCTTTCTTCTTCCCTGTTTTTTGAATGTCACTCCATTATCCTACTTTCACACCTTTAAATAACTCCAGGAAGGCTTCTGACTCTCTCTCAAAATATCTTCCTTTTCTATTCTCTTTTTTTTTCCTCCACCACCAATCTGTAGATATCTGACCTACTGTGAGCTGCATTTCCCTGTCTTACAGACAGGACACAAGACTGGGTATCAGGACATCAAGGAGGTCCTGTGCCTTTCACGGACTTCATGTATGCCTGTAGCCCTTTTTACTTCTTCATGCCTTGTTTACTTTACCTGCAACGTCCTGCACCTAGGTTGAGGCAACCCCTAGTATGATCAATACAGGCTGGTGGAAGAGATGCCAAGTTCAACACATATGAATAAAGAATGGAGACCAATAAGGAGAGGAATGGTTTCAGATCATCATTTGAGTTGCCCTATGGTGAAAGACTGCTGGGAAGTACCAGAGGCTTAAACAACACTTTCCTAGTTTGGGCCAGGGGTAACAAGCACACACAGTTGGGCTCCAGCCCTTCAGCAAGTTCCTAATTGCCCATGCCTTATATTGATAATGGACACTTGAGTATGGTTTTACTTCCTTTGCATCTAGGAGCTGTGAAAATCTCTGTCTTGATGCCAGATGCAAAGTAAAAACTTCTGACAACAACTCATGAGTTCTTCCTTGGCTGTGTCTTAACTGTTTGATACTGTAATTTCAATACAACTTGCATTAGGTTCTATTACATTTCAGCAGCAAGTGGTATGTGCACATCCTCATATACTTGGTTTAAGCACCTAAGGTGCCCAAATACACTTGCAAGTTTGACTCTAAGTGGAACAGACAAGTTCCTGAGTGTCTTAAGCATATTTAGTCTCCAAAGTTCTTTCATTAAGGATTTAAATTTATAGGACTACATGTTTGAGAGGGCTTGGAGACATCTGAGACACTGCAGCAAATGGAGTTCAACTGGAAACTGCTCCACCACCCTGAGCTGTAGAGTAAGCAGGAGCTAGAGGTTGTGTTCATGTCTCTTTTGGACAATAAGATGTTTTCTAGACATGCGAAGTTTTACTACTATTATTATCCTAGATACCACTGCCTAAATAACCCTGACCCTTGGAGGCAAGAGTCTACTTCAGCATAAGGGGTAGACCTTGCAGCTCTCTCCAATGATTCAAAACCTTCCTTCTGGAGTTGAAACGGATGTTCCAGCCCTGTATGAAGAGCATGTAGAAGTCCCCAAACAGCCCAAGCTTCCTGTTCCTGGTGGTGTTAATTAGCAAAAGACTAAATGCAGCTTGAGTAAGGCTGAATTTCAGTCAGGTGTGATGCTAATGCAGGCTGAGTAGTTCTGAATATTTTATGTGCAGTCAGTGACCTGGAGTAAATGTCTTGTATAATACCAGTTCCCCCTCCACCCAGGCCTCTGAATCCTGCACTTAATATGCTTAAAGGCACAAAGAGAGGCACTGAAGATGGGCTGGTGTCTGAGATATTCATTCTGGAGGTACATAGTGGGGAGAACAGAGAGAAAATGTGCTCTGCAGAGTACCCTGGTACCCCTCCCTGGGCTTCCAGCCCAGCCCTGCTCAGCATTTCTTTTATTCCTATCTTGTCTCCACTCTTCCCAAGGGGAACTGTGTCCCTACCCTGTAAAACCTATGAAATGGCTCAGTGAAGCAGAAGGTTTGAATCCAAAACATTCAGGCAAGTTCGATCACATTTAGAAGCACCAAGCAGACAGACAGGGGAAGACCTGATAGTCCGACATACAGTCTGAATTGCCTCTCTTCTGAGGAGAGTGCAGGCATGGTTTATGAGAGGTTAAAGGTGAGCAGTCAGGTGATGAGCCTGGAGAAGAAGAGATAGATTCATTTCATTTCATATGCAGTATAATACCACATCAGTATTTGGTTTTATTTTTATCCTCAAAACCAGCCCTGTACAGTAATGGTGGTAACAGGCACTTTAACACCTGACTCGTGGGTACCTGTTCTCCACCAAGTCTCAGTTTTTTCCACATGGATACAGTGCAGATGAAAACATGAAGTCTCCCAAATTCATGCCAAGAGCCTAGTGCTCACAGCCAAAAGCTGGGTCCTCATGTCCACTGGGGCTTACGGGGGGTGGGAAGACCAGCACCCCTGAAAAGCTGTTGTGCAATGAGTGGTTCAGGGTTGCTGAATGAATGAACATCAAAGGTATCAGCAAAAGCAGTTTTAATATGATTTATAATACATTGATATATGATATAGCTGACAGAGGGGAGATTGAGATGAGCTCTTGGCAGAAGCTCTTCCCTGTGAGGGTGCTGAGGTGCTGGCACAGGGTGCCCAGAGAAGCTGTGGCTGCCCCATCCCTGGCAGTGCTCAAGGCCAGGTTGGACACAGGGGCTTGGAGCAACCTGCTCTAGTGGAAGGTGTCCCTGCCCGTGGCAGGGGGTTGGAACTGGGTGAGCTGAAGGTAAAATCAAGCTAAAGATGATAGAGAGACCAAAGGCACACAGGATGACATAGACCCTCCCACTGTGTGATGAGGTTCAGAACAGACCCCCTTGCTTTCTAAACTCCTGACAGAGCCTAGGTGTGGCTGAATCCAGTCTGTCTCGGCTAATCATGCATCCCTGTGTCCCCATGCCCAGTGGGGCTCATGGAGGGTGGGAATGCCAGCACCCCTGAAAAGCCAATGTCTTTTAGCTCTTGGAGGTAAGTACTGAAATATCCAGCTGTGACTCCATGCTTCTGTTAACTCTAATAAGACTTGAGAACAACTCCAGTGTGTGTAGCTCACAAAAAGAGCAGGGTGTTACCTCCACATACCTGAGTGGGGGGTTTGATGGGTTGTAGGAGAACAGGGACATTGCAGATGTGCACTCAGTAGAAACAGAAATATTCTGTATTAACTTCAAAGAGAGAAGCAGGGTTTTAATGAATCCCATCCCCAGAACCGTGGGTTAACAAGCCATAAACAGGCTTTGCCAGCGCTCAACTTTAGCATCAGTAATTTTATCAGCACATTGTTTCCAAACTTAACCAGATTTTAATTAAATGTGGCTTTTGTTCTGCTTATTGGAAGAGTCTTCTCCATTGGATTTGGTGATCGCAAAAGCTCAAGGAGTGTCAGAGAATTAGAAAGCAAATAGGAGGATCAATCACAGCAGACCTCTGCAATCCATGTCCATCTCTTCTTTTATTTGGTAATATACTTATTAGATCCTTATTGTCAGGAAGGATTAGTGTTGGGAGCTCCAGGAATTCCTTTCATTGCCCCATAAGGCGAGGTAGTGAAGTGTGGCTGCTTTCCTTAACAATAACACTCTGTTTCCCCCCCCCCTTTTCTCCACCCCTATCCCCTTCTCTCTCTTCTCTCCTCTCCCACAGAGATTTGTGCAGCGGACTGCGGAGGACACGGCATTTGTGTCGGAGGCACCTGCCGCTGCGAGGAGGGATGGATGGGCACAGCCTGTGACCAGCGAGCGTGTCACCCACGCTGCAATGAGCACGGGACATGCCGGGATGGCAAGTGTGAATGCAGCCCGGGCTGGAATGGAGAGCACTGCACTATTGGTAGGGAGAAAGAAAAACCGACTCCTTTTCAAAGAGTAACTGATGATCAGGGAGGAGAAAAGGCGCATGCTTAATTGAATATGTGTGACTTAGTGTAGCATGAGCACCTTTGTTCTTGGATTTCCAGTTCTGACATCATACATTTCCATGTGGGAACAAGGCAAAATGTCCTTTCATTTGTTGATGACATGGCTATATAGATATATTTGATTGTCAGACATGAAGTGCACCTATGCAGTGTTTGGTCTCAGAGACGAGCCGTCAAATGTCAGCTGGATGCTTTGAAAAACATCCCACTTTACCTCTTTCAAAAGGTCTTTCTGTGGCCTCCAAGACTTCTCTCTACTGTGGTGACAGCATTTTCAGAATCATGCATCTGGTTTAAAGTTTTCTTCCCTTTTATTTGCTCCATGATTTGCACTGCCACTTTGCTTGCCATTCAGATGCAGTCAGATGACTTCTGGCTGGTATTTAACTCTGGCTTGATTATCCCTTGTCTGCTCTGCTACCTTTTTAACCATTTCATTTCCTTCTCCCTTTGCTTCTGTATTCCTAATGCACCTGGCACTTATCTTGAGCTCTTGGTGTCATGCCTGTTATTACTATTAATAAGGTGTCATCAATATGCCCCAAATAATGCAAAGAGGTGCAGTTCTTATGTTAAGCAATTTTCAGCATCATTAATGAACTGTCTTTGGTTTTACCTTCCTCCTTCATCTCGCTTAACTCCTTGATGCATTTCACATCTTCCTTTTTCATGCATTCAACCCCTTTAATCCCCATTCCCTAATCATGATATAAAATCAGTAGCATTAAAACTCCCTAGATACCATTTATTATACATTCATGGCAAACTAACTTAGTGAATCCAGTTATATTCTCCATAATGCCTGTGTGGACCTGAAAAATAGCAGTTGACTTTAGAAGAGTTGTTCCACAGTGAGAATTCTCCTCTAGTCATTGTGGTTTAATCAATTTTATTTAAAGACAAGAAAATTTACCTCTGTGTTGCTTTCATTCTACCATGATACATATAAATCACACCACATCAAAATTAACCATTAGCAATACCCAGGTGAATGTCTGCATAGTTACCCATGTGGATTATCAACTCTAGTTATATGTAGACATCACTTTCTTTGCTTGAACACCAGGTAAGTTTGCACACACACAGACAGGAAATGAAGCCTGATCACAGTATGTTAATTCCATCATTAGGGTAATGGTATAAACCATATCTGTGGCTCAATTCTACTCATCATTTATTTATGCTAATGTCACCCTACCACATTATGGCCTCCACATGCATCCCCTAATGAAAAATATCTAGCTCTTAAAACTTCCTCTGTCTCATTAGACATTACATTCTGCTTGCTTTGCTATGTCCCTAGCAGCTTTCATTTCTTTTCATGAGGCAGGGATTAAAAACCCCCTCTTTTAAATGATTTTAAAATGAAAAGAGAGCAGTCCTGTGTTAATTGGAATCCTGTGTTTCTAGAATATTATTTTATAGCGTTGTGTTCAAGCACTTTGATTTGGGAAGCAACACAGATTCATGAAAGGGTTTTAACAGAAAGGAAGTTAAGCAAAAGGCCCCGAATTCCAGGGGACAATTTGATATGAAAGTCATTTATGGACAAAAAAAGGCCTGATTCATACCCTCAGTGCTATTTCAGTAGTTCTGCTGCAAAACCAACATGCTGCTAGTTCAGTACATGATATTTCTCCACACAGCTGATATGCCCAGGCTGTTTTCAGACAACAACCTTTTATTCTTCACAGTAATTCAATTTATCCCACTATTTGAAGCGTTCCTCACTCTAAGTATGAAGAACCCATGTTTTCATGGGAAAGGGCAGCACTGCAATGCAGTCAGCATCGAGATTTTACTGGTGCACACTATCATTTGGTGTGGTGCCACCTTCCTATTGCAGTGCTGCCTTGGTTTAGGAATCATGCTTCAGAGTGCAGGAGCAATTCCATTTCTTTTCACTTCCCCCCACTCCTCATCTTCCTGCATGGCGATTTAGCAACAAATTTGTCCATAATCTCATGCCTCTGAAGCTGCAAACAGTATTTCCTACAGAATATTTCATTGATAAATGTGTGGAATATAAAGGAGATTTGGCAAAGTCATAAATATCCAAGAAAATTGAATAGCTTTAGCAGGACTAATAAGCTAATTATATTGGCACAGATGAAAGGACATTGACTTGGAATTACATTAAGTATGTGGAAAGCATTCCCCTTGTCCTTGTGTAATTTCCCTGCATGGCAACTTGTTCTGTTGACAGTAATGTCTATGTCATGGCCCGGTTTGCTTTAGCACTGACAAGCATAAAACCCCATTGCTGAAGTGATGCTTTAACAACATTGCCATGTGTGCAGGTAACATGGTAGAAATGGATGATACAAGTAAAGGACACTTCTTCCATTTCCTGTTGAGCATGTTTGAGAGTAAGAAATCCTTTTGTTTTGTAGGTTATAGGAGGCTCTTTTTTAATGGTGTTCAAGGGAACTCTGATCCCAGTGGATTGATTTTGTTTGCTCATACAAAGAGTTGTGTCACCAAATACACTAGCTTGATTGCTCACATTCAGGGATTTCATTAGAGGAACCCCAGTTAATTCCCAACCAGGAAATTGATGCAGAAGCTTGCATTCATCATCCTAATTCTGCAAACTTAACGCATCCAGGCAAAAGAGTAGAACAGAAAGTAGATTATTTAACTGCAGGAATCCTGAAGCCCAGCAGAATGGTTCCATTGATTTACTGTGATTTCTTAAAGGAAAAAACCCCAAAACATGACAACAGCCACAATACAACACTCCTGTGATGGGCTCTCCAGCATATTCCAACTTTGTCCCCAGTTAGAAACATTGCAAGGATTCAGCTTTCTTCTGTTCTGGACCAAACCACACCCAGGGAGCATAACGGGGTTTAGGAACATTGAATTTAAACATGAAATGAACCCTTTTACTGTGGGTTCTGAAAGGCCAAATTACAACTGAGCTCCATGGTAAGCTGCTCTATGGGATTGGTTGACAGCACCAGAAAATTTCCTGGGTTTACCAGACGATGCCAATGGTATGTGAAGCTCTCTGTAAGATATTTTACTAGCAACAAGCTTTAATTCTTGGATTGATATTAGGGTTATTTACCAAAATAATGGCAGAGAGGGCTTCTCTGTGTGCTGGAGTTGGGATGTCCATCATCCTTGAAAGTCCTGCACACAAGACCAAAGCTATCACTTGAAGTTCGGTTGCTGCACCTCAGTACTACAGGGTCTCTAGAGCACTGAGGGGCCAGCAGTTACATCTCCAAACACACAACAGCCTACCTAGCAGGATTTTCAGAGCACCTCAGTGCCTAATTCCCATTGATCTCCCCAAAGGCTATATGTGCTTAATTCCTTTTGAAAATCAGGTCCTAGCACACAATGGGCATGTGTAGAATAGCAAGTACCAAGACAGACAGACAGCCTGACACACATGAGCTTCTGCTTATGGTGCCACGGGGCTGTTTGTTGTTTTCCTTAGAAAACTCTGGTTTTTGAGACATTTGCCCCTCTAAGTTTGCCTTTCATCAGCCTTCTTGCTGAATAACCACACACGTTCTGAATAGCCAGGGTTGTGTTCAGTGCCTCTTGGTTTCTGCTGGAGCAGCTGGAATCCAGACAAGGCACAGTACAGGTGGATCCTGATCTCTTTTCCCCAGCTTTCCAACACACCACTTGTGCCATTTAAATCCATAAAGCAGCTCAGTCTGTGTGCAGCCCAATGTGAAATAAGCCCACCAGTGTCTAATGAAGGTTCTTGCTGCCCAAGAGAGCAGATATTCAGCCCTCTGCAGTGCTCAGGCACATCCACAGCAGCAGCTGATCTGTGTTTGACTCCCTGGCACCCACCCTGCCTGGTTCAAATAGGTACCTTTGAGAAGAGCCAAGAGAATGCCACGGTTGTAGCCATGGAAAATATGTGCTTGGTGCTTTGTTCCAACATGCATCAAGCTGAAGGCAATCTGGCCTTAAATAGTTTGACAGCATATTTGACAGTAAATATTAAGTAGAGATGAACTTCAAAGATAGGCTATTCCCCTGTGGCATAAAAGTCTTCTGCCATCCCTGGTTCAGTGATGAACGGCTACTGTCTCCTCTCCTTCAGATCTGTGTGATCTCAGTTTAACTCCAGGGATTTCACTGAAGCTCTGCCCACTTCACCCCATGGGGAAGACAAAGGATAAGAATAGTTGGAAAACAAAGAAGGAGAGTGTGCTGGGAAAGAGGTCCTGCCCAAGGACGTGCCCCCAGCACATCCCACTTCTCCCTTCCCTCCTTTCCTCTCTGCGAGCCAAGAGAAATACTCATTTTATCCTTCCCAATGTCTTTCAGACCGAACCAACCAAGTTAGCTCAGGCTGGTGAAACTAGAGGGCTTTCAGACTGAAAAATGCTCACAGGAGCTCCCTATATAGCAGATCTGAAGGGACAGCATGGACTAGTGGAAGGTGTCCCTGCCCATGGCAGGAGCTTGGAACTGAATGAGCTTTAAGGTCCCTTCTAACCCAAACCATTCTATGACAGTGGCTTCTAGGAGAGGGGTGGTGACATGGAGCTGAGTGCAGTGCCTTTGGGTGCAGGGGACACCTTAGAAAAGTGGCTTTTCTTCTAAGCCCCTAGATAGTTCCTCAGCATGTCCTACATCCTTTCCAAAGAAGTATCTACAGATAATTCAAGGCCAGGTTGGACACAGGGGCTTGGAGCAACCTGTTTTAGTGAAAGGTGTCCCTGCCCATGGCAGGGGGTTGGAACTGGGTGAGCTTTAAGGTCCCTTTCCAACACAAACCAGTCTGTGGTTCTGTGATAGTAATGCCAGAAGTATAGCATGGGAATGAGTCTATACAGGTTTAGAGAAGAAAGATTTATGCTACCATGGAATCTTCCCATAGAAGGTCCCCATTATTTTTCCAGTTACAAAAAAAATTGACATGTAACTGAGACATCTGGTTGGCAAGTGCCTCCTCTGCTGGTATCTGCACCATAACTACTGCCCCAGCTTACAGGCTGGGCTGCTCTGGATGTCAAAATCCAAGAGACCCATTCCCAGGCTGGTGGCTGATGCCACTGAGCAAGTGGATGGTGATGCTGTGCTTCCTGCATCCCTGCTGCTACACCAGGGTGGTGAGTTAATCTCATTTCCAAGCCTCATAACTGCCCCGCACTAGGTTAGCTCTGATCCTCCCCGCCCTTTCTACTTATTACACTAGTGGTTCAATGGATCCATTAGATTAACAGGATGGGAAAATCATTCCTGCCAGGACTGGTGACCTCTCAGGTGGGCAGTCTGAACCTGAAACAAAGACCTCTTCAAAAGGGTTCCGGGACACAACTGAGAGAGAGATTCCAGGGAACAAGGGATATAACATTTAAGCAGGTAATGAAAGAGAGAAATGCAACACTTGGAGTTTTTGATTTATTAATAAAGCCCAGATGCTGCCAGGACAGAGAGTGCCGCCTGCCGGCATGTCCGAGGGCTCTCCAAGGCAGGAATCCTGGCTTCTGCTTGTGTCTTTGCAACCAACTTTCTGTTTGACCCCCAAAATCAATTAGAAGGTGGTTATCCAAATTAATGTTCCATGGGAATTGGGCACATGACTGCTCCCACCACATCTGTAACTCATTTTTTTCCTTTAGCCCTCCTTGGAATGAGTACATTAATACTTACCTACGTGGTAGAGCTGCCATGAGGTTAATTTCATATTGGAAAGTAATTTGATCTGGGGCTAGAGGATGCTGTATAAATGCAATGTGTTACCATTAAGAAGATCCAGGGGAAAGCCTTTCCCAGTCTGGTAAGGTCACAGTGTGGAATAATATGAGACAGTCAGGTGAGGTGGAGCACTTCCAAATGACTCTGGTTTTCCTGATGAAAAGCAGTCAGTAAAACAGAGGCACTACAATATTCTGCCATATATATATATATATTTATACATATATATATAGTATATATATAAGCACATAAGTATATATCTAAAGCTTTCCTGTTTCTCTTCCTGATCTTACCGAGCAAAGATGACTGGATGCCTAAATGCAGCCTCCTTGAGCTCTATGACTGAGGAGGGCTGTGCTGCACCCTTCTCCCTTTTTTTCTCTCCTCATAATCAAGGTTTTTCTTTTCATATCACAGCGAACTCTCCTTTGCCTTTCTAGCACCTGCACAGTCTCGTAGTAAGCCGCAATGCACTTATTCAATCCTACCTTAAATGTCCTGTCTTTTATCTCCCAAGCTCACTATCTGGATAAGGTAGTGAAAGGTATGCTCTTCCTTCCTATTTTTCCTATTGTCTTTGTGTTTTAAAAATGCACCGTGAACATGCTGTGTTGAGGTTGCATCTCTTCCTCATTGTCACCAGAGTGCTCCCTAATGTCTGGAAGGGTGAACTTTCCAGTCATTTAGGTAGGAATTAACCTCCGTGAGTGCTGTGACCCTGTGTTAACATCGTATCAGTGTTCCTACCCGTCCCCCTGTCCCTGCCCTCCCCTCCAAATCATCTCTCATCCTCACCCCTCCTACCCAGGTAAGGCAAGTCAGGAGGAAACAAAAGTGTCTGTCTGTGAATACAGCAGGAGCCCTGTACAGTGATGGGGTTTATTATTTCAATGGCTATGATCCATTTTGTAACAAGCAGGTGAGTGCCCTTTCTGTGTGGAGTCTCCATGTTTTTGATCCATGACTGCAAAGTCTTACATGGGAACTTTGAGCAATGATATATGACTATTTTTGGTTCTTTAATACAAAACTGTCATGACCTCAAAGCCTCTGGTTGTATAAATCCACAAAATCTATTGAAATCAGTGACATTGCATTAGTATGCACTACAGTGAAATCCTGTGGTTGATGTTGCATTAGAGTACACTACAACAAAACCCAGCCCTATGTTCCTATTTGTAGACGTAAAGCAATTCTAGCACCCAGGTCTTTCCTCAATGAGGAAGATAAGGAATTGAACTCTTACAGAATAGAAGTCATCTCCTACCCTCAAAAAACCTCAGGTGTTTATGAATCAAAGCAATGAGCTAAATGAGTTTAGGACTTTTAAACAGAAATAGTTCCCCAATGCACTTAGCATTCTAAAAATGGTGAAATTTAACATCTAGTTAAATACAACAATCTGACAAGAAAGACGATGGAGTTGGACACAGATCTCTTTCTACATGGCTGATTTGACACTAACAGCAACACAGCGCTGACACCACAGAGCGTCATGTGTTTGCTGGTTAAACAAACCAAGAAATCAGGTTGAACAAATCAGTTTCTTCCATAGCATTAAACTCCTTTTCAGGTTGTGAGCAATCAGAAACAGCAGCCATGAGAGGCTGATGAAGAAGGACAGATATGCCAAAATACTGGCCCAGTGAACAGTTAAAATGAAGTGTCTGCCATATAGGGCTCTTGTGGTGTGACAAGAAACACAGCTGCCCTACTGACTTCGCTTCACTGGATGAATGTTTCTCTCTCTTGTTTCTATTGAGGCTTAAAAGCAGGTTCAGGTACAATCACAAATAGGGAAAAGCTTTTAATAGACAAGTATTAATGATAAGGAGACTTCCACAGTTTAAATAGGGAGACTTTTGTCTTCAGTGTAATGCAGCAACTTGCAGCTGTCCTTGGACCCGTGTTTGTAGATCAGTGGGTTGTTAAGTGACAGGTAGTTATCTCTCATTGCTTATCATCAGTAAAACATGCTTGACTTCATTTAAATTAGGATTAAAATGTATATTCTCCTTCTTATATCAAGGAAAGAAGATCACTTGTTGTGTCCTTCTGAAATACTAGTGGTGGCATCCTTACAGGAAGATCTGAGCCATCACTAGGGAGTGGGATCAGAGCCTCCTATTAATGTTCCACAACTCAGTGTTTTGCATTTCGAAACCCCAGGACAACTCCTTTTCATCTCAACAAGTGTTGGAGGAGGTTGGATCAAAAGGGAGCAGATAAGCACGAAAGGGATAGAAAAGAGGAAATCAACCTACAGAGCCTGGGCCCAGGGACCTTGAGTACTGATTTGTCATTCAGTGGCCAAATTGTTACTTACTATGTCTTCTGTTGCTGACATTTTAACTCTGGGTAGCCTTTTGACTCCCCTTTATGCCCAAGAAGAAAGACATGTTATATTAAGTGAGTATTTCAGTGGGTAACAGGTTAAGTGACATACTACTAATAAAAGATTGTCTCTTTCCATGCATGGCCTCTTTTGGAAAGATTAGCAATAACTGAAACATAAAAAGTACATGTTTTTTACTTGGCTAACTGCATGGTGTGCATTTTTCAAACCTAAATTACTCATGCCCTTTTGGCTTTCTTAATTATTAACATCTTTCTGGTTGAAATCCCTTTGCAGTAATCCCGCGTTGTCAAGGGTGAGCCTGATTTGCTGCTAAATCTTTCCTACAGCTTTACAATGAGCCAGTAAGTCAGAGAAGATACAGAATTATTTCTACATTGGAGGGCAAGTTGCAGTAGGAAACTTCAGTGTGATTAAACCAAGAAGCTCTAACTAGACTTGGAGTTTCCTAAACTAAGGCCTAATTAACACTGGTAATGCTTAGAATGAAAAGAGGTGCCTGCTATTAAAAAGGCACTGATTTTAGAGAGAGCTTCTCCATTCAGAATAACATTGGAGCTGATGGTACCTAAATGTAATTAATCTCTATTGATGTTTAGCAATTATCACTCTTAAAATATCACCAAATTAATCCTGCAGTGAGGCATATAAACAGCTAGTCTGAATGGAGAGGGACTCTTCATCAGGGACTGGAGTGATAGGACAAGGGGTGATGGGTTCAAACTGAAACAGGGGAAGTTCAGGTTAGATATAAGGCAGAAGTTCTTTACTGTGAGGGTGCTGAGGCGCTGGCACAGGGTGCCCAAAGGAGAGGTGAATGCTCCATCCCTGGCAGTGCTCAAGGCCAGGTTGGACAGAGCCTTGGGTGACATGGTCTAGTGTGAGGTGTCCCTACCCATGGCAGGGGGTTGGAACTGGATGATCTTAAAAGGTCCTTTCCAACCCAAACCATTCTGTGATTCTATGTAAAGTTTTATGACATAAAAACAACATTTGACTTCAGGGATGGCTGCAAGGTGGCTTCTTTGGGCAGCTCCTGAGTGTGAGAAGTAGTGAGAACCCAAGGCCTGACCATGGCCAGTTCAATCATTTGGATTTATAAGCAATAGGAGCTCTGGCAAGTAACTTATTAGTCTTCATTTTACAGGATGAGTCTGATGAAGGGTTTCTGGATTCCCACCATCACAAAATATCATGGTGGTAGTTGAAGAGTTGTGTGGTTTTCAGGACACTTGACTGGGTTTCTCATCAGTTGCAGGGATCATCTGATGCTTTGCTCCTTCCCTTCAGTCCTACAGAACTTCTGCAGGTCACTTACTGATTGTTGTTCCCTCAAGCTCCAAGTGTTTGTATCCTCACATGTTGCATTCAGCCATGTCCTAGTTGTTTTGGAGCTCAACCTCTGTCTGCTGGGACTTGCTAGAACATCCATCAGTGCTTTCCTACTGACAATGGAGGAAAGATAATAGCCTTATCTTTTAAGTCCAATTTCAAGTAGCAATGAGGCTTGGCTTGAAGAAAAATCCCATTGAACCTTGTTTATAATTGGACTAATTAGAGAAGGCCTTAACTGTACAGATCATTAAGAGCAAATTATTTTGCCAGCAGCTTTAAAATGGCAGGATAATTTCTTACTCTGGTGACAGTCTCCTTCGACTCTGATACTATTTTCTTGTCTAATTCAAAATCCACTTCTATATTGCTTCCCTGCTCTGTATTGTCTCTTGCATGGCAAATCTGACATCTTTGGGAATGTCCTGTGCTATTATCATCTTTCAGCAGCACTTTCATGTGCATCAGTTGGAAACTCACATAAAGGGTTGCCCTGCACTGCTTCAAAAAGCCCTATTCATGTATTTAATTCTCTTAGTCACCCAAATACAGTTAACAAACAGGAATAATGAACCATTAGTGCCTCTAGCTATGAGAAATCAGAGCTGCAAGATTATGGTGGTGTAAGTCTGTGAGGATTAAGCCATCCCACTGTGCTGGTATTCAGAAGCACTTTGGAGACAAGGTGATCTTTTGCTTTATTCCCTAGCATGGGGGAAAGGAGAGGATTAAGTTTATTTGTATTGTCTTTTTGTCATATGCTTTGAAGTGCACTGTTCGTGAACTGGGGAATACTGCATGTTCCTACCTCAGTGATGGTCAAGTCTTCATGCAGTGAACCAGTCTAGAAATGGCAGTACTTGTAGAGCCATTCTCCTAGACATATTGGCCTACACATCCATGTTACCTTCTAAATATCTGAAGGTATGAGTATAGCTGCTGTTTAATTTAATTAATTAAAATGATTTATATTAATGGTTTCATTCTCATTACTTCTTGAAACTGTCTTCTTCCCTACCAGACCCATGACAAAGGAGAGGTACAGCTTAATCCTCACGTCACTGATACTTTGTAATGTAATGGTTAATATCTGGAAACTTTTATGTTCGAGAATCTGTGAAGAAGAGTTTGTCTCATTAGGAAACAGCTTTTTTTGACTCCTTGGAAGAGATTTATCTCACTAGGAACCAAAGATGACTCTCTCCTTCGTGGGATGGGTAAACTTACTTTCTAGACTTGAACGATGCCAAGACAGTGGAGTATGAAATTACAAGTGGGAGTTATTCTGCTTTTGGTATCTACAGCATAGATGCTTATATCTCATTTAGTCACCCTTAATAGTCAAGAAAAGGAATATGTACTTTGGGAATACATACTCTCATGAGATACTCTCTTCTGTCTCTCCTCTCATGAAGGATGTTCTTCCTCTCTCTGTCTGCTTTCTGGGATGCTTGACTTAGTTTCTCTAGGTCCAGATCAAGAAGATTCAGAGGAAATCCTGGAAGTCCATTCAAATACTCTCAAACACATTTCATATAGACAATGAATTGGACACAAAATTCAAAGACATAATAAGGGATCTCCTCAGTTAGAGTCCAGTCTTCTGCTGTAGAGGGTAACCACTTTGTGTAAAACTTTATGTAAATGTACCAAGCTCTGTGGATAGTAAGTGAGGGTTCTTCTCCTTAATGCTCCTACTGGGAAGCTGCTCCAAAACTTCCTTTCATCCTGGAAAATTACTTATTTTTCCATGCTCCTACTGGGAAGCTGCTCCAAAACTTTATTCCTTTCATCCTGGAAAATTACTTATTTTTCTTTCTATTTTCAAGCCAGAATTTTTTCATGTTTAGTTTATGTCCATTTATTCTTATGCCAGAATTATTCCCTTCAGCTTAAATAACTGTTTTCCCTTCTCACTGTTTAGCTGTGCCATGAATTTGTGGAACACATTTCAGCCTTTTCAGCCTTTGCTGTGCTAGAGTGGACACATCGAGGTTTCTTATTTCCTCAGAAGGTGCCTCATCCAGATTGTATCAGCTATTTTCTGCAACTCCAAATTCCTCCTTTGCTAAGCCTGGGAATGTGGAGCACGTGCAGCTCCATATGAGCTCCTAATTTTTATGATTATATTAGTTTTTCCTTATACTTGCTGGACACTCCTCACATGAGGCATTTGAAGATCATTTGCTTTTATCGGTCTCGGAGCAAGTAATTGATCACTACAGTATCTTTTCTGTCTAATAGTATTAGATCTTTGCTTGTGAGATCTTTGTTCCAAAGATTATGAAATGCAAAATACAATTGAAACAAAAACCACTAACATGGAATCCCTCTTTTCCTTCTGAATTGTCATCATGTGAAACCTCATAGGCCTAACTTAAACCATTTCTGGGTTTCAATCTGTTCCTACATGGCTTGGAACCAAACCCAGGGTGCTTTTTGTCTTTAGCTCCCAGCAAAAACTTCTAAAACCTATCTTCTTCCCACTGCAAAAAATAAAGAGTCTGCTTCAGGAATTAAACATCACTTGTTGCTTTAAAAATCTAATGGTATCCAACCCTTATTCTCTCATCCTTCTACAGTGGTGTTTTCAACTTCTCATCACCCAACCCTTTTTGGTTTTCATTGCTCTCCTGTCCAGGTCAACACCAGAACATCTTTGCAAGGAGTTTCCTGAGCAACTGCTGCATAGAAAAGAACTTCATAGGATGAGTTGTAAAAAGTCCAAGCAGTAGAAACATGATGTGTGCTCAGTGATGATGCACCAGCCAAGCTCTAATGGATCCATGACAATACCCACAGAGTGAGATTTCTCCAGAGGTTTTTCCTCTAGGCAAATTTAGGCAGATTTATAAAAAGGGGGGAAAAGTCCAATTATATCATCAGGATGGTCCCATCCAAACTATATTTATCTAGTCTGAAGTGGGATTACCTACATAGCTAAGTAATTTTACCAGGTTATTTTAACAAGTAATACACTTCTTTTTGTCCTTGTCCATGGTAAAGGGTTGGAACTAGATGATCTTAAGGTCCTTTCCAACCCAAAGCGTTCTATGATTCTTCCTCTCCCATTCTCCAAAACAAGCTTGTACTGAAAGGGATTAAACAAACACATCAATTAGCTCTAGTATAGAAAAAGATCAGATTAAATAGTTAAAAGTTCAGCACTTCAGTTGTAAGTTACTACTTCAATTACTACATTGTAAGAAACTGAAGGCAGGATATTAAAGTGGAGAATGTCAAGTAGCCTTGCCTATAAATAGCTCTTCTGTAGTATATAAATATTAACATAGTGTATAAATATCAAAATACATACAGGCATGCTCACACCTACACACACACTGTATGTCCCCCCCCGAATACACATTTAAAAATGAATATAGAAATATTGAAAATGAAATGAAAATACTGAAACACAACAAATATGTTTGTAAATTAAAAACTTAAGATCCTTTAAGATCCTCTTAAAGGACTTTTCCATTACCACCTTTGTTCCCTTTTCCATTTACTCCCTGTAAAACTGTCACTTGTTAGTAAAACAGCCCTAGAAAAGCTGTTAAGTTCACCATGAAACCATTTGTTAGTTGAAAGTCGTTTCTAACTGGTGTTTCCCCAGTGCAGGACACACCATGACATGATGTGCTCTACACACTACCCCAGCACGTCCATGGGCAGACCCTTGTGTCAGGCAGTCAACCAGATGTTACACCTTTTCGCTGTCGCGTTGTAACTCATTAGGACAGTACAAGTCCGTGTTGTTCACACAGTTTCACAAGCAAAACCTGTCTTGCAAAGCTGGAGAAACTCAAAACTATGTGGCAGGATGCACAAAACATATATAAATAGAGAGAACTTTAAAGCAGGGCTCAGGAAGACTGAATTGTGTTCCTGCTATGATCAGTCCTGCTGAGTGACCTTCACTGTGTTGCACTTCAGTTTCCTAAGCTGTAAAATGTGTCTTACATTTCTGATGGCTTCTTGGTAAAGATTTCAGAGCTCTGCAGGTAAAAAGCCCCCAGAAGTGTATAAGCTAAACAGCCTCCCTCCCACCGCTGCTTACTGTGGAAATTGCTATCTTATTGGGGAAAGAAACAGAACAAGAATTCCAGCAGGAGATCATCAGATGAGAAATCAAACCCTCATGAGCAGACTGAGAGATAGATAGGATTCATCCCCCTTGAGTTTTATCACCTATAAAATAAACACCTGCCTGTATGCTGGGTTCTCTCTAGCCACTGGGGAGAAATGGGTGTTTTCTTCAGCCTCTTGGTATTGGAATCCAGTGCATACAAAGAGGCTGATGCCATGGGACAGTCTGTTTCCCTGCTGACTACAGGGAGCTGAAGGTATCTCTGTTATAGATTAATTCTGACCAGATGAGATGAATCCCACCCAAAATGACTACGGTAGAGAAATCAAGTGTTTTCCAAATGTTTTCTGCCTTCCCTTTCCAGCTGGCCTTGCTCATCAGTCTGAGATCTCAGCATTGCTAGAAGCCAGCTCTTTTATCCCACCAGGTGCTGGGAACTTTAACCCCACATGCAATTTAGGTAACCCCAACTCTTGGTCTCCCGTAGCAAATGCTTTGAGAGACTTGGAGGGCAAGGTGGGTTTTATAATCAGTGCAGCAGGAAAATCTCATTGCTTCCCTGGAGCTCACCTTTCCAGGTGAGACAGGTTGGACAGGGCTTTGAGTAACTTGGTCTGGTGTGAGGTGTCCCTGCCCATGGCAGGGAGTTGGAACTAGATGATCTTAAGGCCCTTTCTAACCCAAACCATTCTATGATTCCATGATTCCCTTGATCTATTTAGTGAGACTGTGCTAAGAGGACCTCTGGGGAGAGCCAGAAACAGCAGTTCATTGAGTGGTCACCACCATTCCAAGACATTGGAAGGCACCAAGTGAGAGCAGAGAAATAAACAGAAGGCAAAGGGAAAAAGCTGTTTAATTAGCCCCTCTCCAGGCTGTTTGCTTTGTCTTTGCAGTGTGTTTGAATGTGTGGCTGTTTGCCTTGCAGAGGGATGCCCTGGCTTGTGCAACGGCAACGGCAGATGCACTCTGGACATGAATGGCTGGCACTGCGTCTGCCAGCTGGGCTGGAGGGGAGCAGGATGCGACACTTCCATGGAGACGGCGTGTGGAGATGGGAAAGACAACGACGGAGGTAGGACATGAGCACATGCGACCTGTCAGGCTTCACAGAGCCTACAAAGCTCACCCAGTGAGCTGTCAGCTGGGCTTGATGCTGCAGGGCAGATTGGGTTTTGACAGCTGGGAACAGACAGTGAAGCCTGCCAGGCTGACTCAGCCAGAGTGGATTTGAATTCAAATGGAATAGATCTGGGGTGCCAGGGCTGAAGGGGAATGTTTGTTTATCCTCAAATCAAGTCCATATACCAGAGAACAAGCAGAGGCTACATACACATCACTCCACCCCAGACAAGTGGCTCAGCAGTGATACAATGGGACCACCTCAGACAGCCATCATCCCTGACTGTTCAAATGGCCTCACTGCCTGAGGTTTTCATCAAGGCTCTCCAGTAGGTCACTACTGACTTGGGGTGGATGTTTTGCAGAAATTTAGAGGCTTTTGGTGACTGATCCCCATGCCCACAAGCCATCCAATCCCTCTCGAGCCATGTTTTATTGATTACAGTTCCATATGTAATGATGTCAGGCATGTGAATAATAGCTCTGCGTAATGCAAACTTAATATTCAGGGTTATCTCATTACAAAGGAAACCCTGGTGCAGTGTGAAGGTTTGAATTAAAGGGCAGGAGATGAGATATTAAATTTAAGGCATAAGGGAGACTGCATAATTTGTTTTGTTGTCACTCAGCAAAAGGCTTTGTAAACCACAAGTCTGGGCCAGGACCCAGACTGTGAAGTGGAGACTGCCTTTTGCAAGCCTCTGTTTTATCATATTCACAAGAACAGTACAGCTACAACAAATAGCCAAGCCAAGACTGTGATTATCTGCTTCACAGCAACTGGGATTCTGATTGAATATTTAAAATACTTCTGCACATCTGGCATGGCAAATGGACCAAATTATCCCTTTAGAAAAGATGGGAAAAAAACTAGAGAACCATACAAAGAGTTCACACTCTAAAACAAAGATTGCTTTTTGCCTCACATGAAACTGAGTATCAGTTCCTATTTGCAGCTGACACAGGGCAGCAATAAAGTTCATCACATCAGATATGTAAAAGCATGGTAAACAGAGCCAAGGATAATCCCAGTTTCCATGGGAAAAAATAACCAACACAAATCCTGCAAAGCTTTTAGAAACGGAGAGAGGGAAGGAGTAATAACATACAGTGTAGAACACCACCATACAACATCACAAAGAGCATGGCCACACTCTGAGCAGGCTGGCGGAACACCATCTCCTTGTATCTCCTGGTGCTAACCTGGTGCTAGTTCCTGCTAACCTCAGAAGTGGGTTACCCTCACCTTGAAACAAGCTGTTTGTCACCTTGCCATTGCAGGACAGCAGATGTAGACAAGAGAGACTAAAGGCATCGACGCATCAGCTGCTAACTTGCATTTGGTGAACTCATGTGGAGCAGTGGTGTACGCAGCTAGAGCAGAGCAACTGAGAGGTTGTAATGTGTTGCCTTGTGGCAGCTTGTTCGTGTGTCAGAGCCCACAGATGAGTGTTGACTTCACTCTTGGTACACCAGAACTAATACATGTACATGGTGTGCATTACAGATAATCCATCACACACTGTTACTCCTTTGATTTTGCTGCATTACTGCTAAGGGTTCTCCTCAGCTGAAAAGTGGAACAGTGGAAAACATTAACCTTCTTGACTTGATTTTTATGCATTTCTATTAATCATTTGTGGGCTTAAATCTAGAATATCAACCCGTGAAATGTGGGAGCATCAGCAGTAGTGAGGCACTTCTGCTTTGAAGCCTGAGTTGTTGTTCAGCACAGGGATTTGAATATAGTTTAATGGACTTCTGAAGAAAGGATGATTCTGGACCTGTTTCCTAGTTTTGATGCTGATTTCTGTAGCAAGACAGCTAGAGACACTTGTAGAACATACATAGGATAATTTAGGTTGGAAGGGACCTCCAGCAGTTTTCCAGTTATCCACCTGCTCAAAGCAGTTCTAATTACATCATGTTGCTCAAGGTGGTGTCCAGTCAAATCTTGAACACCTCCAAAGATGGAGATTCCACCTCTCTGTGCAACCTGTTGTAGTATATGGCTATCCTGATAGTAATCATTTTTCTCCTAATATCTAATAATAGTTTTCCATGTTCCAACTTAATGTCTGTTGCCTTCCATCCAGCACCGTCTGAGGCATCCTAGAGCATCCAAGCTGGCTTTTTGCTTCCTCTTCATGATAAGTTGGATCTCTAGTTGAGTATAATATATGTTTCATGTGGCAGCTGCCTTTGGATTTCTCAGCTATCCAAAGGGAACTCAAATGACACTGGTCACCTGGGTTTAGAATTGAGCCCATATTTAGTGCAGCCACTTTATCACCACAAACATTATACCCTGAGAAACTGCTGTGCTTTAAAGTGCACTGAAGAGATGGAGGCCTGAACAGCCTCTTAAAAGAGCATGTAGCATGTGTATGAGCACTATAATTTCTCTCTCTTTTGGGATCCTGCCACAGTTTCTGGAGTGATGGATGCTCAGGGCTGGAGAAAGGTGGTTTATTTTGGCTCACTGTAAAAGATTTCAGGGCTATTGCCAAATTTGTCTTCATATGCACATGAATGCAGGCAGTGGAGATGGTCGTCCTTTCATGAACATCTGAGCTAGTCACCACAGGCAGAGAGAAACAGATGTAGGGCATCATCTCTCTGAGCTATTTCAGGTATCACCTCATAGGTGCCTACTTTTGGTTGATGACTGCTACCCTTTGAGTCACTTTCTGCTCAGAGCAGCATCTCTTGAAGCTGAGACACCACTATGGGGGGAGCTTCACCCTGCCTGAGCTGGTGGGAAGCTGGTTCGTGCACTGTGGTATCGAGTGTCTGCTAATCAAGATCCCTGCAGCCAGAAATTCCTCAGGATAATGGGAACTGAAGTCAGAATCTTTTTCATGAACCCAGCCTAATCATACCCTGAGGGAAACACGTCCCAAATTACAGGGTGTGTTTGCCTCTTAAATCTGGAGCCTGCTCAGACAAACAATAACAAGCTGAGCACAAGTCATTCGGGGAGAGATGCGGTGAAATGCAATCTCTGTTCAGGTTAGAAAAGAGGTGTCTTGGAAAGCAGTTCCCTCTCCACACACGAGTGTCATTTGTCAAAGCCAGCACTTAGGTTTCACACCCAGGTCCAGTTTATTTACACTTTTAAACACAAAGCCCATCAACTTGAAAGGAGTTGTAGCAGGTAACTGAGTGTAGGTGATTATCCAGTATCAGACAAGGAAAAATAGTGCAGTGACAGAGCTTTAACAATCTGGGTAAAAGGAGAGGATTTTGTACATTTGACCTATGAGGCCACCTGTATTACCAGAAATGGGAGGTGTTTCCTTAAAACAAGCTGAGAAAAGTGGTTCTTGCCTCTCTTTGGCAGAAAATATTGTGTCTAATGCATGGCTGCAAACATTTGCTGCCTAGAAGTAGGGCTGTCTCACCCCACACTGAGCGCTCTGACATGTGCTTGAAGAATCAGAAGTTTGAAGGTTTAAAAGACCAATGAAATTATCCTCTGTGACAAGTCCTAGAAGTAGAGTTAAGGGCATTTGACAAAGCCTTGAGACACAGCTGATATTCCATAGCCTACATACAAGTTTCATTGCATTTAGGAGCAGAGTGTGTGGGAATAACAGGGGAGAAGAGGAAAGGATGTTCTTCACAGCAAAGCTGTGTTAACCACCTTTGCACATGGGAAATCATCTAACTGCTTGATTCCCTCCATCTTGAGAGTCAGAGAGTTGGCCCATTCCCCATTTCACTGACTGGATACACCACACTGTCCTGAAACCATGATAGAATTGCAGATATTAAAGCAAATTGCTCCTTTGCTCTAAAGGTTCTGTCTGAACAGTAACTTCGCTTGAGGGCCTTTGTTATTGTTGTGGGCTTTTCCAGAGCAGCCAAGTCTTCCAGGTAGGGTAAAGCTTGCTGGTTCTCTGGGAAGTGGAACTGGCTGCATCCTTCATTTCTTGCTTTGAACAACTCCAGTTGCTAAACAGCTGCTGAACTCTGCCCAAAGTGAATCTATACTTGTGAAAGGCAAAAGTCTTTCTTAGGTGAAAAATATGTCTGGAATATAAATGTTCCTGATATTATCTAACTCTCCATGTAGATTAGAGGTTGATGGTCAGTTGTCTCTTTTTCTCTGCTGCCTTTCCCCAATTTAAACTCTTCCAAAGGTTTGTGTTAGTGATATCTGCAGGATAATTTAGATAGACAGAGGGATGGAGGGATGGATAGATAGATAGATAGATAGATAGATAGATAGGTATAGGTAACCTTCACAGTCAAATAATGCTGGCCTATCCTAATGTATATTACATAGAATAGCAGCTTCACTTCTCTGTCACCTGGTCAAGGATCTTCCTTTGGGAGTGAAGAAAATAAACCATCCTGTTCTCTTTTTCTTCAAGAATTGTACTAGTGAAGCTTCTGCCCCTCAGTTTCTGTCTCATTTGTGACAGCTACGTGAAGTGCTTTTAGCCCATCACAAGCACAGGGTTCCAATGTACGTGTGAGCCCATTTTGCCTTTGCAAGCGTAGACTGTGCTCCACCAGATGCTACCCAAGAGCTAGCAAGTGGAGCAATCCTTATACTTTCCTTCCCTCTATCCTCCTGGGCCAGAACAACTAAATGTTGCCTTAGTCTTCCAACCCTGAAGCAGTGAGCAGAGCAGAGCAGTGTGCAGAGCCACCGTGGCACTGCACATGGAATTTTGGCCTTTCCTTGCAGCCCTAAGTAGTAGTTATTGCTGCCACTAAAAACCAACTCTAACTTCAAGGATGATGTAATTCAGGAATGGATTCAATATAGTTTCTTCAACTGTACCATAGCCCATTGGCACAACTGCACAGAGTAATTATAGACTCACAGGCTGGTTTGGGTTGGAAGGGACCCTAAAGCTCATCCAGTTCCAACCCCTGCCACAGGCAGGGACACCTTCCACTAGAGCAGGTTGCTACAAGCCCCTG